GCACAAACTGCCTTTTGGCCAGTGGCTCAGTTTCCAYAAGGAAAGTGGGTCCATCAGAGGTGTGACTCCATTCCTGAATAACAGCTGTGCTGATCCATGAAGTTTGTGTGTGGCCCATCCTTTAGTTCTAACAAATAAGATTAGATAAGGTCATTAGGGTAAAGCCCTTGTGATTGAATCCTGGTGGCTTTATATGAAGAGGAAGAGAGAGCAGAACACATATACATACATACATACACACACACACACACACACACACACGTGTGCAATCCCACACATGTTCTCTGTTTCTTCCCATGTGAAGTCCTGTGCTATCTCAGGACTCTGCCAGAAAAAAATGCCATCAATAGATATGACATTTTGGCCTTAAGCAACCAGGTCATGAGCCAAAATAGACTTTTTTAAAATGATTTACCCAGTTTGTGGTGTTGTGTTATAACACCACATTATATCTTTTTCCTGAAGCACTCTTCTGACCCATGTTTGGTTTTGTATTTGTTACTTCTAAGTTCTTCTTCATTTTTTCCCCTTATTTGTTCACTTCTCGTTTCTGTCCTTCATAGTAGATATATTTCTCAAACACTTGGAGATCTTTAGCTGTTCATGCTGAAAATTGGGTTCCCAGATGTTACTTGGAGCTCCATGTGCATGGATAGGGCTTACTGGCTGGTACACCCAAGAGTAGGTAGATTGCACATGGACCTGGACATTTCATGGGCCCCCTCATGGTCAGAATACACAGATATCTTCTTTTGAGGCAGCTCATTTCCCTGGAGAGGGCTCTTCCAACTTCTTGCCTACTGATGAATAAACCTGCTGGCCAGTGTTCTGGGAGTTGAGTGTGTGGTGGGAATGGGAGCTCTCCTATTTAACAAGCAGATTCTCTCTGGCTCCTGTTTCACCCCACACTCTGCTGTCTTGTATGCTCAGATCCAGTGCTTCTCCCATCCAATTTTACTAGAGAATGAACCTCTAGTATCCTGCAGGCTGCATGGAGACTGGGGAAGCCACCTCAAGATCTACTTGCTCCCTTTACAATCTTGCAAGCTCTCCTGCTTTCAGCTTCTCTCTTCTGTCCCTCTTTCAGAGGTATCTGGTGTCTCCAATTCCTGAGCCTCCAGTGTTATCACTTACTTAGGTCTGCTCCATTGGATCCCCTGGTCTTATCACCATAGACATTAGGGTCTCAATAGTCTATAGACTCCTAAGTCAATGGTCTGTAGCCACCTCTTAGCCATTTGCTTTCCATTTTCCAAAATTTTGTCAACATCTTTTTTTTTTCCTTTTTTTTTTTTTTTTTTTACCTCTGATTGAATCTAGAGAACTTTACCACTGAGCTTCATCCCTAGCCCTTTTTGCTTTTTATTTTGAGACAGGGTCTCATTAAGTTGGTGAGGCTGGCCTCGGATTCTCAATCTCCCTGCTGCAGCTTCCAGAGTTGCTGTGACCACAGGTGTGTGCCCCCAGGTCCAGCGGCATCTTTTCCACCTGGCATCTACTCCTCTTTTTCTCTTCGCCCTTGTAGATTAATCACTTTTTATTATTTCCCCCCATTTCTGTGGCAGCAAAATGGAAGTAGAGATTCAATTCTCCATGTTTAACCAAGAGGATTATTTTCTGAATATCTTTCATCATGGATGGGCTATAGGAATTGCAGAATTTAAAATTCCTGCTCCTTTCTGCGCCTTATCTACAGTCTTAAAACAACAAAAATGTTGAGCCCTCTGCACTGGTTTTCCTTTGGTTCTCTTATGTGAGCTTTTTAGATTTTTTTTTCTTAATTTGCCATGTTCTTTCCCTGGCTCACAATAAGGCCATAACCATGAGACCATATTCTCTTGATAAAATTTACATGGAACTAGCATGAAGGCAGACTGACCCCTGGAAGCGTGTGCCCATGTTTAACTTGGCTTTGATGACAACTTGCTATTCTTTAACATATTGACTTTCTCTTCTTAACTTCCTTTCCTTTTTTGTTTTTGAAGTTCCAAAGTTTTAATGTATGTGTCTATTCCCCAGCAAGAATTTTGAGGGGCTCTTGTTCACAGTTACATTTCCAGTACAGTTTTACTTTCCATTTTCTCTCTGYTTATGGCCTGTACCCTTTCTCTTGCTATACCCTATGCTGCTATTGTGGCTTCAATAATCCCTGCTCTACTTAGCGAGGCTTGTCTTGCCCTTCAGAGCCTAGCCTGGAGAACTTGTCTTCATACAATTAAAAGCAAAGTCTGCCCCTTCTTTGGCCACTTGGAAGGGAATAGCGCTTTCCTCCTATTAGACCATTAATTCTTCATTCTAATGGGAATTTATTCTTCACTTAAATGCAGCTTCATTTCTCTAGAATCCAAGAAATTTAAGTGTCTGGAATGTATGATCAAAAAAGAAAATAGTACTTTTCACTTTAATGCTTCTATTCACAGCTTCTATGCTTTCTGGCTCATAAATCCTGTTACTTTTATTGGCCCATTCCCTATTTTCATAAGCATATTCTGGATTTTGGTATGCTTAGCTAGAGAATAGCCTTATTTATTTACACTTMAGTTTTAATTATTTACCTTAGGAGTGACACTTTGGTAGCTTCCAATGGAAGATCTAGTCTACCCTCTCCTCCCATAGCTGCCCCATGCTCATCTTTAATTAGCTTTCTTTATTCTAGGGATGATCCTTTTCTCCTCTCTAGTGATGATCAATGACCATTTATATACCAACCCACTATGTTCTTTTAACAGTCAGTATGTATTTTAAATGAAACCCCATTTCTAAGTGGCTTTCTTTTGTAACTAAAGAGCAAGACAGGTCCAGATGTAGCTTCTTTTGTGTGATAGCAAAATCTCTTTGTTTTCAATCTGATTTCTTTTGCTAAAATCACTTCCAGAGGGCCTTTGGTTGGAAGCCATTAAAATGGCCCCAGTGGTTTCTGCAGTCTTGATGGTCAAATTTGTGCGCTTGCTTCACCTTGAGTGTGGGCTGGGCTCATTGCCTCATAGTGGGGGCAGTGGGATAGCACTTTGGAGACTTGGTCATACAAGGACTGCGGCTCTTGTCTTGGCACCCTTCTCTCCTCTGCCTCCTCACCCCAAGGGAGCCAGTACTGGTCTAAGGAGCCACCTGTGGCAAGGGCTTACGGGGRCTTCTGGCCAACAGCTAGAGGTTCTCAGGTCAATAGCCTGTGAGGAAGAAAATCCTGTGCATAATCATCCAAGTGGGCTGGAGGCCATKGCTCTGCCCACCCACTACCACCCTCGCTGGAGGCCAGGCCTCCCCCATCTAGGTCTTCAGGTAAGATTGCTCACCTCTGGGTTCACTGATACCATGTGGTCTGGTGAGACCCTCAGAAATGATAATTTTATAGTTTGAAACTTCTGAATTGGAGATAATTTGTCACATAGCAATACATAATAAATACAAGCTCTTAAGGCAAATTACCTAGCTTTTCGCCTGTTTTTCATAGCTATATTTGTTTAGATCGTTCTTTCCTCTAGAGAGAATTTAATTACTCATGAAAGTTTTTCTTTAAATTCTTTGAAGGCCGGAAATGCAGACATCAGTTTTATTCCAAATTATGTCACCAGTGCTCACTTAGCATGATGCCTTGCACCCAGAGGAAAATTCATATTTTCTGAATTTGACACTTTCATCTCTTTCTACCTGTCCTGATTAAGTTACTCCTCCTTCCTGTATCACAGTTTTTCTTGGGACTCAGACCCCTAACTCATTGCCTCCACTTCTTGCCCCTCTAACCTGCTGCCTGGTCTCTGGAACTGCCACACTGCTGTCTGGCATGTCAGTTCCCTGGTGGCACTCAGTCCACTCTGCTGTCCTCCTCTCCTCCCTGGCTTGGGAGAGGCTCCCTTGCTAGGGAGGTGAGACAATCCCCTGATCCCCTCACCATCCAGAGGAGTAAGAGCATGCAAATTGGTTTTGGTTTGTTTTTCCATTTAAAAGTAGTAAGTAGGTAGATAGTTGAGGCCAGGAGATAGCATGTGGCCACCTTGAAATTTAGAAGCAGATTGACTAGAACTTAGGTTTCCCGAAAGAAGAAACATCATACCAAGAGATTCAACTTTGAATCTGGGCTCCACCAAATTTAATAACCTTAAGGGAATTATTCAAGCTTTTCAAGCTTTTCAATCAGTTCCCCATCCAGAACAGGTAAGTAATTTCTATTTTATAAAGTTGTCTTGGGCATTATTCTTGAACCTGTATTTTGTCCATTCCATATTTTAGCTTATATTTCTTTGGGATAGGTTTACTTTGTAGTTATAATGATGCCATAAACTTTCTATTTTAGTTGATAACTTAAATATAGCAAGACTATGGCATATTTGTTGTTAATAATTGATATTACTATTCCTTTATTACTTTTATTYCTTAATTAAGGAAAAACCAGCAAAAATATTATTTCTCACTGACATTCAGAATTTACCTCCATTTGTCTTTATTTGCTCTACTATCGTAAGTGGGATCAAATATTATAATATAACAGATGTTGGTGATTAGAGAACAAATTAGTTGTTCCCCTATTTCTAAACTACTTATCAGTTTAGAAATAAGACTTTGGTAGAAAAAAGTTTTCCAAGCTGTCTAAATAAAAACATGGCTGAAATGATTAAGCATATGTAAGGAAGAAGACTAAAGCATGTAAATTACCTTATGAGTTTAGGTTGATAGAAATGTAAAACACTAAAGTAAATTTATATTTATATTATTCAATATCTTTTTAACTTAAGCAATGAGTCAATGTTAAAACAAATAAGACATAAATACATAAAGATTCCTAGGCTTAGAGATTTTAGTCATTTGCAAACTGAACTGGGCACTGAGGGAACTTCCGAGATTATATAGTTCCGTGTATTCATCTTACACCAAAGGAAGCCAGGCCCCGAGGTTAAGTGACTGCTCTGTTAAGGACAGAGCCAGATACTTGCCATGACACCAAGCGCTACCCTTTGTGTTCATGTATTACGCTAATTGCAAAGGTACCAGGATCTGCATCCTACCTCTTCCTGGGACCGGCTAAGTTGTTGTATCAGTTGTGTTTGTGCCAACAATACTCTTTCCAGTTCATCTGACTTGTGTTTCATTTCCTTCCTCAAGTCTTCTGAAACTGAATGATTACTGTCAATTTCCTTCTTCAAACGAGATTCAAATTCTGCAACCAATTTTTTTAGGTTTTCAATTTCTTTTTTCTTTGACTCAGATTCTTCTGTGTATTGGATGTGGGATTTGTGGAGTTTTTCTTTAAGAGTGGTCACTTCCAGCCTTAGGTCTCTAGTAGCGCCTGCGATTAAGTCAGATATCTGTAAGATAAACATCATATTAGTTTGTAGGCAATAGTTTCTAGATAACTACAGAGATCCAGGTTTTTAAGAGGGTTACTCTAGTATGTTCTTCTAACTAGAGGAAAAAAAMCCCCATGACATCCATAGGTCTTCAATATTTTCTTTTAAAAGTTCTTCAGTTGATGAATGGATAAAAAATGTGGCATTTATACACAATGGGATATTACTCAGCAATAAAAGAGAATAAAAATCATAGCATTTGCAGGTAAATGGATGGAGTTAGAGAAGATAATGAATGCTAAGTGAAGTTAGCCAATCCCAAAAAACCAAATGCCAAATGTTTTCTCTGATATAAGGAGTCTGATTCCTAGTGGTGTAGGGAAGGGGAACATGGGTGGAACAGATGAACTCTATATAGGGCAGAGGGGTAGGAGGGGAAGGAGGGAGTCATGGGGTTAGAAATGATGGTGGAATGTGATGGTCATCATTATCCAAAGTACATGTATGAAGACATGAATTGGTGTGAATATACTTTGTATATAACCAGAGATATGAAAATCTGTGCTCTATGTATGTCATATGAATTGTAATGCATTCTGCTGTCATATATAAATTAAAAAAATAATAAAAAAGTGTGATTCATTTTCCACCTAAAATGGTATCACATTGATCAGTTGGGTAGCCTTGGAAATACATAATATTTGTGACTACATTGAGCTGCCAAGGATACTCAGGTCCTGACAAAGTAGATTAAGGGCCTGGTTGGACCTAGCTAGGTTGGCTGCAGGACCTCAAAATGCCTGATATTTGGAGATGCAGGAAGGGGGGGCACCACAGTTACACTCTACTAATATCATACAATTAAGTTTCCCTTGACATAATTTTTCTTTTCTTCCTTTCTGTCTGTCTTCACCTTTTAGAGCAACACTGCCCAACAAAACTTCTGATGGAAATATTCTGCATTATCCAATATGGAGGCCACTAGCCACTTATTTATTTATTTATTTTGGTACAGGGGATTGAACCCAGGGGAACTCAACCACTGAGCCACATCCCCCTAGTCCTTTTTATATTATTTTGAGGCGGGGTCTGGCTGAGTTGCTTAGGGCCTTGCTAAGTTGCTAAAGCTGGCTTTGGACTTACAATCCTCCAGCTTCAGCCTCCTGAGCTGCTGGGATTATAGGCATACACCACTTGCCTGGCCACATATGGTTTTTGAAGTAGTGTGCCGGTAAATATTTAAAATTGACTCCCCACACACAAAAAGGTCAAATATGAATCTAATTGGCATGGTGTGAATACTCTCAACATAGCTACCACTGTAATACCACTGATAGGACTGAGCTGGAAGGGGATGACCAGGATAGGCTCTTGAAAGCCAGTATAGGCTACTGAGCCCTTTCAATGTGACTGATGTAACTGAGAACTGAATATTAAATTTTATTTAATTTTAACTAATTTAATTGAATTATTAGTAGCCACATATGACCACCATAATGGACAGTGAAATTCTAGAGAATATCCAGATATTGTGAAAAAGTACTGCTTCTTGAGGCTTCTAGATGAATATGAGACAATAACCTGGGGAAGCATGAAATCTTTAGAAGGGAAAAGACTGTTTTCTTTCTCCTTAAAAAAAAAAACAAAAACAAAAAAAAACTAAACAAAGAACAGAAAAACAAGGAAGAACAGAGATACTTCTGATGAAACATATCCTTATTACTTCTGCTACAGATATTGTYGTATTATAAATATTAGCAAAACAAGAAACTAGCCCACAAAGAGTCTGGAAGGCATTTATAGACCAAAGTTCCAAGGGCTTTGTGAACTATTACTTAAAAGAGTTATGTATCCAAATTTGTTTCAAATGTTAAATTTACATAAGGAGTAATTCTTGAGAGAAATCTATTCACCACAATTGGTCATTTTATAAATTAATATTCTATTTTCTGCAGTTAGTCCAGAAGGAAAGAGGGTCACTGTAGGTCTGAACAGTGGATTTCTTCACCCAGAGGAGAGGCGACCTTGAGACTGAGCAGGATAGGAGGTTCACCTGGCCATATGTTTTGATTTTTTTTTAAAGGCAGTTAACATTTAAAAATCAGGAGACTTCACTTATAAAAATTTGGACTTACAACTTCTTGTGAGAAACCAAACCATCTAGCAAGTTTAGGCCTGCTTTCCAGTGTTCCTCTGCCCATGGGATCCTCAACAGCCCAGTTCTGCAACTGAAATTGCAAGGTGAGGGGAGGATGGGCAGGGGAACTCAGCGTGGCCCTTGGCACAAGGGGTGGGAGACCAGAATTGAGGTGAGCCGAGGCTCCAAGCTGGTGGCACATGCTCCACTATCTCCATAGGATTTTACTTACGAAATATCAAAGATAAGCCATCAAGAATTTCAAGGTAACATATGCAGAACATTAAATCCATGGCACAAAGCATTTCTGAGTGTGGGGTCCTGTGCTACACAGTCACACACTGACACAGAGTGGACCACTGAACAACAGCTCCTTGGTTGCTCCTTCACACCCACGCAGAGATGTCAGGCTCATTTGATGCTTCATCAGTGTGGACTCTAATGAGTTAATCAAAATATTTTTTCCCCACTGGGCCTTGATTAACACACACATACACACACAAACACACACACACACACACACACACACACACACACACACCCTATACTTAGGTCCTATAAAAATGGAAATCTTAACAAAACCTTAAGTTTAGGGCATACTGTTTAAGAAATTAGAAAGGTGTGTTATGTTTTGAAAACATTTTCTTTCAACAATGTTTGGAACTGGAAATTTCTACATTTAAAAAGGATATATTTTAGTTGGGAAATTTTTAATTACATAAAACAGTTCAATTTTGATGATGGATACTGAGCTGTTTGGAATATCCAGCCAGGCTAATTATTAGTCATAAAGTGTATGCTGTTTTAAAGGTAAGTTTATCTTAGTAGGAAATCCCACGCATCTGGATTATATGCTTACACAACTTATCTAGTTATCCACCTGGAGAAGAGCCAGACTATTTTACCTGTGTGGCTACAATCAAGCACAGTAGCCACAGGACAGCCATGGGAGTTAAGAATACTGCAGTGTCCCTAGGTGGAAGTACTGGCCCCTTAAATAGTGATGAAGTAACAATTGCTGACCTTCATTTGTAGTTCTTTCTGTTCCTTCTTATACTTTTGGATTATTTCTTGGTGTTTTTCTTTTTCAATATCAAGTTCCAATTTTGCTTCTTCTTTAAAGAGAAGAGCCTTCTCCTCGAATTCAGCTAAGTGTCGGGCTCTTTCCTTGGCAAGTTCAGTCTCAATCTAGAAAACAGTGTTAACCCATATATAAAACCACTTTATCTAGAAATAGTACATTAAGCTTATTTTCAGACTTGATTTTTTTAAAAAAAATTCTAGCATCAAGTTTTAATTAAACTATTTAAAAATTTCAGGTACTTAAAATTCAAACTTAGAATCTGGGCCAGAAAAAATGATCTTGGGTCAAGTATTATAAGACCTGGGGAGACCTAAAATCTAAAATATTACTAGAGAAGTTAGCATTAGAGTCTTCAAAAATACTAAAAACTGAGTCATTTACATGTCATGACTAAAAGCTTAGTCATTTACACTGAAAATTCAGTCTTTGCCAGCAACCCATAAGTAGAAAATAAATTTTTTTCTTGCGGTTCTTAGACTGAGGTCAGCTGAAATTCAGAGGAGCTACAGGGGCAGGTGTTGATTTTGCAAATGGCCTTTTCTTGATGGAGGTCACAGATTGTCATCCTGAGGTTATGAAGGCTAGAAGGATGACTAAAGGAAAACACTACAGCTGACTCAGAATCACAGTGCCAGTGGGGATTCAGAAATCCCTTGGTTCAGTCTCTGAAGCTGCTGTGAACTGTAGGGAGAATAAACAAGGAAYTGGTTTTACAATGGAATTGAGTTTGATCTTGGTTCTAAATCCTGGCCCTGCCACTGGCTAGCTTGTGATCTGAAGCTGGAGCCAGAACCTCTCCTGGAGGGTCACAACTAGCTCCCTCACGGGCGTTGGAGGATTAAATGAGGCAAAGCCTGTGTGTAAGCCCAGCCTGAGCAGGGACTCAGCCGTCAGGGGAGATGACTTCCACTGCTGACTCTCTGGTCCCTGCTGTGGCATCTATTCCAGAGACTGGTCTGCTGAGTGCCTGTCATATCCCGAAGTGGCAACTCTCTCCAGCAGCAGGAGTTCCTACTTCGCAGAGCATCTGGCACTAGGTAGTTTCCTAGTTCAGCCCACATCCTTCATGAGGTTTTGTTTGTTTGTTTGTTTTTCAAAAACAAGGAGATCTTTTTTTTTTTTGTAGAACTACAGTACAATTATAAAAAGCAGTAAAGTGAACATTGATATAATACTATTCAAATTGCATCAGTTGTCCCCCCATCAGTCTGGGATCTAATCCAAGAATTGCATTGCTGGGGRTGGGTCCCCATGTGAGCAACCATTCAGACCCTGTGGAGGAGACCACGTCTGCTGTACTTGGTTCTACTCTACTTTTAAATTTTATTTATTTATTTATTCTAATTTGTTATATAGGGCAGCAGAATGCATTTCAATTCATAATATACATATACAGCACAATTTTTCATGTCTGGTTGTACACAAAGTAGAGTTCCACCATTCGTGTTTTCATACATGTACTTAGGATAACGACGTCCATCTCTTTCCACTGTCTTCCTACCACTGGTTTCAGCTCTGCCTACTAGAGCAAGAGAGAGGTCAAATCTGAGGGTTGGAGTCATCCATGCCTTGGAGTTCATCTGAGATGATCAGAGAAATCCTGCTAATAGGCTGGCTTGAGGCCTGCATGGTACTGTGCTGTGATTATGAACTCTAATTGGAGGTAAATGCCTGGTAAGTTAGGAGAACTGTGTGGTTCTGGCCTGATATCTCAAGGGAGGTTTGCCAAGAAACAAGGTTTGCTAAGAAAGTCCACAGGAAGCCCTTTAAATTAAATAAAATAAAACAGAAGACCATCCCMAGTTGGAAGGTCAGTTGGGGCTAGAACTGGGCCAGTCTCATGCCAGTCTCATGCATATGCCCCAAATGCACAGGAATTGGTCTGACAGTGATGTGAAGAGCTATTCTGGCTTTCTCAATAACTTTCTGGATTGTTTGGGTAAAAGTCTACTGATGATCTGTTATAGKATTGTCCACATGGGCTGTTCTCAGAATGCTAAAGAAGAGGAAGGCCTGGGGACATTCAGAATAGATTCTAGTGTGAAGATCAGGGACTCACGTCCACTTGCCTCCTGTAGCCATTTAGACAGCTCACAGTGACTCCAATAAGCAGCATGGCCTTAGACAGAACACCTTCCCCCAAACCTGTTCCTCCCCAGGCCCTCCCAGTGTCAGGACACAGCACCACCATCCATTGGTTATTTAAATTAGTAACCATAGCGCAATCTCTCATATTCTCTCCCTCTCTCTGCCACACCTAACAAAAATGCCTTGACTCCCTTTCTTCTCACCTCTCCCTCCACTACCCTAATTTTGGCCACCATTAGTTCCTGACCAGTTTCCTTATTGCCATCCTGGCCTCTCTCCAATCGTGCTCTACATAGCAGTCCTTTTTACAAAATACAAATTAGATTTTTTTATTCCCTTTTAGTGGTTTCTCAGTGCATTAGTATAAAATCAAAACTCCTTATATGACCTTTTATGGGGCCACCACAAGCCCACCTGACACCTTTGTGTGAATTGACAAAGCACCACTTTCCTTAGATGGAAAAAGTCTCATGCCAGGTGCAGGACTTAGAGAGCCGAGCATGGGCTGGATTCCAGCTCCTGCTGCCCCTTTGGCCAGGGCTCTCAGACAGGGTACAGCTGTGTGGCAGCCCTGGGCAACTCCAGCTGGATTTATGCTCATTCCCTCATTTGATCACTGTGCTTCAGCCACACTGGGATAGATAAATCAAGATAGGAACGGAGGAAAAGTCAGAAGRCATAACTTCCCGAGTTAGAGATCACAAGATATTTTGACACTATTTTTTTTAAAGCAACATTGTTTGAGATGCTCAAGAAAAATGTATGTCAAGGTACTAAAATATGAAGTGTTTTAAAAATAATCTCTTATGTGGTTAATTGGTAGAGCCCAATAGTTATTTTAGGACAAAATCTATCTTTCCAAATATGATGGATTGCTCAAAATAAAGTAGGTGGAACAGGACGCGGTATAAATTAGATGACAGAAAAAACTTTGGAAGAACCTTTTAAAAAAGAAGTTTTTCAATTTTATTTAAGGAGAAGAGGTCCTTTGATGTGGAGGAAACAAAGGAAGCACTCAGGAAGAAGTGGGAAGGGCAAAGGTTTGAGTGGCAGAATGTTCTGTTATTGATCTGTGTACACCTTGCTCCTGAACGACTCCTTGAACTTTTGTGGGTTGAGAGAAAAGAACGGCGCATACTGATTGTGGGAAAGAAGGGGAAAGAGTGATTGACTATTACTGGCTTGGTTTTTAATTTGCACAACCTGAGAAGGAAAAACAAAGCAATGAGCTTCCGATGGAATTTCCAGAACTACATAGGATGACAAGAGTCACCTGAATGTGACAATCCCATGGCATGAGCCTGCTGGTCCCTTCATGACCTATCGAGTTTGAACAGTGAAGAGCTCACACAGTGGTTTGCTTGCAGAATACACTATGTATCATTAGGAGGTTGAATGAATGCCCAGCTGCGTGTTTGTATTTTATATAAACTGCTGGACTTATGATTTATGCAAACACACGATGTTGATGCTACACATATAATGCATAAGCTACTGCATACAGTAACTAACAGTAATTTTGATAATTGTGGGAAAATATTGACTTTTTAAAAAAACAAATAATATGTGAGCTTAGGAATCACACAAAGTAAAAATCAATGATCTGTGTACACATTCCAGTATTTAGGTTTTTTATTTTTGTTTTTTATTATCTATAACCTCCACTAGTTCAAACTCCATCTCCTCAGTGAAGATCTCCCAATGAGTCCAGAGCATTCTGAACACAGCTCATTCCTTTTGTATTTGTTATTAAAATGCATAATTAGTATTTTAAACATCTCTATCTAGTATTGATATGCAAAATACTGTCTTTTCACTGATTATTTTCCAACAGAGAACTTTGTGGCTGATTTTGTTATTTCCTAACTGTCCATGGAGCCTTCAACACATTAGAACATAATCACCTGTCACTCCCTTCGAAGCCCAAGGGAACTTCAGATACCAAAATGGGGATCAGATCGACTGTTCTCATTTGGTATGCACATATCGTTTTTGAAAATATATCTCCTAAAATAAATTATTGTACTATTTTCCAAAAGTTAAAAACAAATACCAGTTGGAAGCTTTTATTCCCAGTGTCTAGATTAAGAAATAGGCTCAGAGAGGTAAAGTAACTTTATCAAGATCAAGAGTTCTCTGAGGCGGGGAGGTTGGCATCCTCAGATGTTTCTGGTGGATTCTGTGGGGTACTGTGCTTGGTTTCCCCCCATAACCTGCCTTCTTCCTCCTTTTACAGCAGAGTGGCTAATGAGGTGGATGTGGTATTCATGTAGTTTCAAAATATTGGGGGATTTTGCCAGATACCATTTGGTTAATGATTTCTAATTTAATTCCACTGTAGTAAGAGAAAAAAACTTTGTATGATTTAAAGTCTTCTGAATTGATTGAGAATTCTATATAACACAAAATAGTTTATTTTGGTAAATGCTTTACGCTACATAGGAAGAATGTGTACTCTACTGTGGAGGATATCTATAAATGTCAATTGGCTCAGTTTGTTAATAATATTATTCAATATTTCTTAAAAATACATTATTATATCATTTTCCACAGTACAGATTCCTTCTGGTTTTCTGGCTATTTTTCTGCCAGTCATTCAAAGAAAGATTACATTTCAGACTCTGGTTGTATATTTGTCTCTTTCTCCTTGCAGTTTCATCAATTTTTGCTATTAGGTGAATAAATGTTTAGGATTATCATGCCCTACTTTATCATATGAAATGACCTTCTTTTTCCCTGGCAATATTCTAAATTTTCTCACATCTTTGCTCTGAAATCTGCTGGGTCTAACAATAATAAAGCTATTCCAACTTCCTCTAGCTCTGTGTTAGAATAGTATATCTTTTTCGTCTTTTACTTTTAACCTGCTTGTGTCTTCATATTAAAGTGCATTTCTTCTGGTCAACAGATGGTAGGGTCTTGCATTTTTACCCAAAATGAAAAACTGTGTTCTTTAAATGGAGATATTTAGACCAAGATAGTAAACTCTGGCCAGTCATTACCCATTCATTCTGGCTGCTTACACTATGAGCAATGGCAAAGTTGACTGGTGTTGTGTCCATRAAACCAAGATTTGCCAGAACTTTACAAAAAAAGTTTTCTGATCCCTGATTTAGACCATTTATATTTATTGTTATTGTTGGTAAGAACACCTTTAATAAATCTACTGTCCTATGTTGTGTTTTCTATTTGGCCCACCTTATCTTTTCTCTCTTTTTCTATCTTCTTTTTGGATTGAATATGTTTTAAATTTAACTTATCTCCTTTACTGGCTTGTCAGCTGTCAGTCTTTTTCTTTAAGGCTTCTAGAACACATCTGTAATGCAGTCTACCTTCTAGTGACACACCATCCACGTACAAGAAAAACAGCATACAGGTGGCCTCAACCTAGGATCTTTCACCTGGACAGTGATGTTGAAAGTGATGTATTCAGCAGAAACTATACTTTGAACTTTGATTTGAGATGTTCGATACTTTATTATAAAATAGGCTTTCTGCTACACAGTTTTGCCCAATTATATAGGCTAATACCTGTAGCTCTGAGCACATATGAAGTAGGATGGGCTAAGCTATGCTAGACATGTTAAATGTATCTTGATGATGGCAGTTCCAACTTGTGGTAGGTTTACTGGGACATAACTCACTGTTATGAAGTGTGATTCCCATTTCTTCCCTCAAGACATTGTGCTACTGTCATAGATTTTGCTTCTATGTGTTAAYAATCTCATATTATGAATTCAATTATTAAAGTTACATAGCATAATTTAATAATACTGTGCCTTCTGATTCTTTTTAGCCATATATTTATTAGGTATAAATGTTAATAAATATTATATAAATAATTTCATCTCTATCAAAGTTTGTATTATACCTGCTATTCTTTTTTATTTCATTAATAGTCCATTACAACACATTAGGAATTATTAGACATTTGGCTCTTCCATTTGAAAAAAATTCAGACTTTTTTCTCTCTTCAAGAAAAATTTAATATTTCTTAAAGTAAACTTTTCTCCTTTGCATTTTCACTATCAATTCAGAGACTTCAGCCAGAAGTAAGATTTTGTTTGTTTTCAAAAGTTTTATGTAGTTCTTAAAATGGGGTCAATAGTGCAGTTCTAAAATGTTTCTAAATGTAATGTCTTGATGATAATCTAAGGAAGGAATATTTGGGATTTGCTTGTTGTATTAACAAGTCAATAAGTGACGTGAACTGGTTATGTAAGCAATTTGGTTATGGGAGATTTTTTTAATTACTAAGTGTTCACTGAATAATAACAACAGTGTGCATTTGAGACCAGTTTTAAAGATTCAGCATGCACATTAATTTGCTTTCTTTGGATCAAAGCAATACTTCAAATAAACAAAAAGCCATTACAATTAGTAAATACTGTTTTTTAAAAATGTGCCATCCTTGTTGCATAGCAACTATTGCTCCTATTATGAGCTTTTTACATACTCTAAAATAATTAAGTGCAGGCAAAATTGCAGTCTACTGTTTTTGAACGTTAAAGGCATTTAAACTATGAAGTTTACTCTAATACATGTATTATATATTTATAAAGGGAACATTTCATTCCTACGCAAAGGCACAGTGACCCAAGAAAGAGATGACAATGTCATATTAGTGATTCTTCTTTCTCATAAGAAGAMTTTTAGGGAAGTTTTATTCGTAATCTCAATAGCTAACACAGCCAAGACCTAATTATCATTTCCTGGCTTTGCTGGCCTGGAGCTTGATTTACTGCAAGTTAAATGATGTTTATTAATAAGAAGTCAAATTATAGAAAAGTAAACATGCCTAAAGACGTCTGAGACAGATATCATGGTCTTAATAAGAACTTTGAGACTATTACCTACAAGTATTTTCCCCATCACATTAACTTAGCATAAAGCAAGAGCATAAAGTTCTACAGGGTCAGCTGCTGAATCTACTCAGTGTTAGTGCCTCACAACCAGAGCACAGCAAGCAGGAGACTAGGGTGGGTCAGAAGCAGAGATGCCCTCTCCAGTGAAATGGATCTGAAAACCCTACGTGGGGGTGACTGTGCAGGTGGGGCACATATACTCCAGCAGGTTCCCCCAAATAGTCTAAGACAGGGAGTCAGGAGTCTGAGGAAAGGGAAGGATTGCTGATCTCCATCCATGTTAATTCCATCAGATAAATTTCCAAGTCAGAGAAGGGACATTTACAGTATCTCTTGATATATACGAACGAACAAGTCTTAAGAAGGTTGCTTTAATTTCCAGTGTCTTAGAGAAAGTGTGAGACACCATTTCRCTAGCTCTTCAGTGTGGTGCCAAAGCAAGTCTATCAGTTGAATGAATTAAAAACTATCTGTCATTTTACTTTGCATATTTTGGATTGTTAAGTTGATCATCTTCTTTTTGAATTTTAAAACATGGATTTGGTAAAGATGGGAGAAATGAATAAAAACAGAGTAGATAATCAAGTACAATGAGGCTTGTAAACATTAAAAAGAATTAAAGTGTGGGCCTTGGAAGAAAGGAAAGAAAGGGCTGTGCTACGAGGGACACTTCCAGCAACTTTAGTCCATACTCTCGAATTTTGCTTTCACCAATATGGAACTGTAGTCATAGCAATCATTACTGCCTGACTCTGTAGGCTAAGGAACAGGGGAGCAGGTGAGGATTTAGGGAGTGCTCTTATCAGCTCATACATTTGAAGACTAGAAACAGAAAAGACTATAGAGTTGGCCTGAGCCAGCCACAGCACCTAAAGGGTTTTAATTTGCTGATGGCAGAGTGGGGATTCATGGTGGAGATGTTAGTTTGAAAGTGGTCACTGCTTATTGATAGAGGTTACAAGTTATAGGATCTAGTCCCTGAGGAGAAGAGTCCAATAACAACTAGACAAATTGTTAGGACTTCAGTCAAACAATCTTGAGTTTCAGGGGCCACCTCCCATTCAAGGGAAAAATTTAAGAGTTTACAAAAAAACCCAGACTGGGAGTGTAGCTCCCTGGTGGAGACTTCGGGGTGGAGGGTAGAGCCCAGTGATCAATCAAGGAGTACTGGAAATCTAKGTTAGGAGATGATGTTGTCATCTCAGTGACTAGAGCTATTCATGGAGAAGGTGGGAATTAACAATTTTAAAAACATTACTCATGCTATGTAAAATTACAAAAGTAATACATTTTCACTGCTACAACTTTGGAAAACACACAAAAATCTAAAGATTAGAATCAGTGCATTTTTTTTTCATACTCTAAAAACAAACATTTGTTTATAATGGCAGGCTAAATGGTAACTCATTTTATTTTGCCAGGGCATATATTTTGAAAGTTCGTAACTGACTTTAAGTCATTTTCCATTCTTTTATATTATCTTCTTATAAGAGAAGAAGAGAAGTTATAAGAACATTTTCYTTTTTTAAAGAACGTGTTCAGCTAGGTGCAGTGGTGTACTCCTGATAATCCTGATAGCTCRGGAGGCTGAGGCAGGAGGATTTGAGTTTAAACCCAGCCTCAGCAATTTATCGAGCAACTCAGTGAGACTCTGTCTCTAAATAAAATACAAAAAAGGACTGGGGATGTGGCTTAAGTGCCTTTGAGTTCAATCCCAGGTACCAAAAAACCAAACCAAAACAAACAAACAAAACCCCAACTGATCAAATGTAGATTCTAACACTTATGTGAAAAAAGTAAACATTCGGAAAAAAATCATGCTTCTGCATGAGAAACAAGGGCTATCTTAATCTTACAAGATTTCAAAATCTGCTCTTACTTTTTAAATTTCCTATTATGTAGGGTAATATTTTAGAAAATACACACATCATAAACACACTTAGTGTTGGAAATACCAGAAGGGATCAAAAGTGTACCTAGAAGCAAAAAAATCTATCTGGAACAGTATTCTAGCAAATGGGCATAATTTTAAAAAGCAAATATGACACAGGCTGGTGAAAGCCACACTATTACCTTTTCCTTCCAGCTATCGTCGCTAAGCATCTTCTGTCTAATGGTCTCCTGCAGCTGCTCGATGCTTTTCTGATGCGACATCAGCATTAATTCCCTGAAAACCATAAACCCAGAGATGAGTCAAAATGTACCTCACACTCCTTGTAGGTGACAGTTCCTGGCTTACAGACTATCCTCTCACAGCTTAGTGTTTATCCTCTTTACAATACAAGCGCATACACACATACACACACACCCACACCCCRTGTACCATTTTAATTGTTAACAGAAGTTCATAAGCACTGCATATAAGGCTAAGTATCTTCTCAGGCGTTATTTTTTCTTAATTCATAATAAGTTGTTATTTTTTGCATGAAATAGTAACAACTTATATGGAGTCACAAATATAATAAAATCTTGTAAGTTATGGTTCAAAAAGTTTGAACTAAATTCTAGAACCAAAGAAAAACACCTTGGAATATGCCTTAAAGTCAATAAATGTTTTGTCAATATTATTGACAAGTCTCAAGAAATTTTAAGAAATTGAAATTGTATTGTGTATCTTTTCCAACTGTAATGCAATAAATGTAGCAAACAATTACAAGAAAAACCTCAAAACTATATAAATACATGGATTAAACAACTTACTCTTCAACAACYAGTGGGTCAAAGAAGAAATTAAGAAAGAAATTTAAGAATTTATTGAAATAAATGAATATGGAGACATAATATATAGAAAGTCTATGGCGTACAGCAAATATCACATTAAGAAAGAAGTTTATAGCAATTAATGTTTACATCACAAAAGCAGAAAGATCTCAAATAAACAACCTATTGCTGTAACTCAAGACACCAGAAAATCAGGAAGATACCAAACCCCAAATAAATAAAACAAAAGGAATAATGAAGATCTAAGCAGAAATAAATGAAATAGATACAAAAATACAAAAGATCAGTAAAAAGATCTAATTCTTCAAAAAAGTAAACAAAACTGACAAAACCTTAGCTAAGATGAACTGAGAAAAAAAGAGAGAAGACTTAAATGAGAGATGAAAAGGGAGACATCATAACTGACACCACAGAAATAACAGCGATCCTAATGGGTTAGTATGAACAACTCCACAACAATACATCTGATAAGCTAGTTGAAATGGATAAATTCCAGGACTTGAAGCCCTTACCAAGACTGAACCATGAAAAAACAGAAAACTTGAACAGAAAAACAAGTAACAAGTTTGGACCAGTAATAAAAAGCTTCTTATCAAATAAAAGTCCTGGATCAGATAGCTTCACTGCTGAGTTCTATCAAACCTTTAAAGGAGAACCAATACCAATTCTTAAATTATTCCAAAAAATTAAAGAGGAGGGATTTCTTCTAATCACATTCTACAAGGCCAACATTATCCTGATAACCAATTCAGACAAAGACACAACAAAAAAGGAAATGCCAGAGGCCAATATCCTTTAAGTAGGTATGCAAAAAACAAACAAACAAACAAAAAACCCTCAAAAAATACAAGCAAGCTGAGTTCAACATTAAAAAGATTATTCACCATGATCAAGTGGGATGCAGGATGGTTCAAACATGAATCAATATATATGATATGCTACATCATCAGAATGAAGGACAAAAACTATATCAACAGATGTAGAAAAAGTATTTGATAAAATTCAACATCTCTTCATGATAAAAACATGGAATAATTAAATACACAAAGAACACAGCTCAACATAATTAAGATCATATGTAATAAGTTAAAAGCTAACATTATACTGAATGAGGAAAATGTGAAATCTTTCTAAGATCTGAAAAAAGACAAGAAAGCCACTTTTAACATTTTATTCAACAAAGTTCTGGAACTCCTAGCCATAGCAATCAGGCAAGAGAAAGAAATAAAGGGCATCCAAACTGGAAAAGAGGAAGTAATATTGTCACTGTTTGCAGATGAAATAATCCTGTATATAAGAAACCCCAAAGATGCCACTAAAAAGTATCAGAAGTAATGAACAAATTTATCAAAGTTGCTGGATATATCTGAAATATAAATGTAGAAAGCAATCTGATTTATACTGTCTATAAAAAATAGGAGTTTATTTAACCAACAAGGGGGAAGATCTCTACAATGAAAACTATAAAACAATGAAGAAAGAAGTTAAAGAGGATAAGAAAAATGGAAAGACATCCTGTGTTCCTGAATTGGAAGAATGAAATTGTTAAAATGCCCATAATGCCCCAAGTCAGAGTCAGAGTCAAGGCAATCTCTATCAAAATATTAATGACATTCTTCAGAGAACTGGAAAAAACAAACCTATAATTTGCATGGTGAACAAAAACCCCCACAAATTATGAATATACAAAATAATCCTGAACAAAAAGAACAAAGCAGAAAGCAGAAGGCTGACCTCAAAATATACCACAAAGCTGTAGTGATCCAAGCAGTATGGCATTGGCTTCACAACAGACACAGACTGTACATCAGGACAGACAGCCCAGGAGTAAGCCTGAGCACACACAGTAGCCAACTGGCTTTCAGCTAAGATGCCAGGAACACACAGTGCAGAGAGGACAGTCTCTCAATAATGGTGCCGGGAAAATTGGTGTCCACGTGCTGAAGAATCAAACTAGGCCTGGCTCTCTTGCCAGTTACAAAATCGACTCAAAACAAATTAAAGATGTAAATGTAAGACCTAAAACAATGAAAACTGCTAGAAAAGACCCCAGACCACAGGAAATAAAAGCAAAAACAAACAGTGAAATTATGTCAAGCCAGAAAGCTCTGCACAGAAAAGGAAACAATCCTAGGGAAGAAGCAGTCCACAGAGTAGGGGAAACTATACATCTGATAAGGGATTCATATTCAATGTTTTTTAATGGGGGAATTATTGTTTTCTTTGCTGTGTTTTTTAGCTTGGTATCCTACTTGCCTATTTTTCTTTCGTTTCCTGTGCTTTTGGGATCTTGTCCAAAAAATCCTTGCCCATTCAAYTTCCTGAAGTGCTTCCTCCATGTTTTCCTCTAGTAGTTTCACTGTTTCAGGTCTTATATTCATGTCTTTACTTTGTGTTGAATTTCAAAAAACTTGGGGAGGCCCTGGGTTCAATTCCAAGCACTGCAAAAAATAAACTAAACTAAAACCCCAAGATAAAAACCTGATTTAAAAATGGGCATTAGAACCAAATAGACATTTCTTGAAAGAAGACATACAAATGCTCCTAAGGTATATAAGAAAATGTTCAACATCAACGTCACTAATTATCAGGRAAATGCAAATCAAAATCACAATGAGATGTAATCTCACTCCAATAAAATTGTGATTGTCAAAAAGATAAAAGATGACAAATGCCAGTGATATGGAGAAAAAGGAACTCTTGGCACACTGCTGGTGGGAATGTAAATTAGTAAAGCTGTACGGAAGTGCCTCAAAAAACTAAAAATTGAACTGCCATCTGATTCAGAAATCCCACTACAGAGTATATATATCCCAAAGAAATGAAGTTGGGATGTTGAAGAGACACCTGCATTCCCAAGTTCATTGCAGCAAGAGTCAAGAAATGGAAACAGCCTAAGCCTCTATCATCTGAGGACTTGATAAAGAAAATGTGGCACATATACAGAATGGAATACTATTCAGACACAAAAATGAAATCCTGTCATTTGCAACAACATGGATGGAACTGGAGATCATGATGGTAAGTGAAATAACCCAGGCACAGAAATACAAGTACCCTGTGATTTCATTYATATATGGACATAAAAAGAGATAACTTCATGGAAGTTACTGAAGGCTGGTGAGAATGGGGGACGCTGGGAAAAGGCTGCTCAGTGGGCACTAAATTGCTGTGAGGAGCAAGTTCTGGGTGCTGTTGCTAAGTACCTACTTAACTTTTCAAGAAGCTAGGAGAAAGATCTTGAATGTTTTCACCATAAAGAAATGATAAGTGTTTTAGGAAGTATATGTGTTTAACCTGACTTAAACACTACACAATGTTTGTATATCTATAATTTTTTTWAAAATGCAGATTATATAGCAAGTTCTATAGGTTCTGCTTCATTATGTTCCTCTAACCATTTCCTCCTTTCCTTTCCAACTGCCCCAAAGCCTCCTTAAGTTCCTGGACTCTTATCTCCTATCAAGAGTGTCATAATAGACTCCTGATCTCTTCATCTCTAGCCTACTCTCATGTTATTCAACATCTTTACCATTGTAAAAATAGTGCCTATATTTCTAGGTTAGGAAATTTTAATGACACAAACACAAGACACATTTGACTTGGTAATTCAGATAAGAACATCATTTGAGGGAAACTGATTTTAAAAACCTCAAACTCCAAGACCTCATTTCCAGAAGCAAGTCAGACTAGGTACTTTAATAACTCTCCAACTGAAAATAAATTCTAGTTAAAATGCAGGAAGTTTTTCAGTGAATTGGTCAAAAAGTGAGGAAGATGCAGAGAGCAAAACTCAAATGAAAGGCCAGAGAAAAGTTCTCAGTGGAAAAATGGTAAAATCTGAATCTAGTCTGTAGTTAAGTTAATAATATATCAATGATGATTTCTTAGTTTTGACAGATATACTATTGTTGTAAGAGATGGGCCAAAGGAAACAGACTCTCTGTACTGTCTTTGTAACTCTTCTATATCTCTAAAATATTCCAAGCCAAGAGATTAAAAAGGTGAAGTGAAAGGAAGAACCCCATGAGGAGGGCACAGCAGCCTATCCTTCCTAGAAGGCACCTTTGAAACCTGAGGACCAGTCCACAACCAGGATGGGCAAAGGACTGCAAGGAACTGTGCTCACGCAGCATGTGTGAAATGCATACYCTTGAGTACTTATAGTATAGTCATCCTTCAGGACAAAACGGAAATTACTTGCTTTGAAGTTGTGGTAGGTGGAGAATTTCTAAATACAAAACAGCCTTGGTGCAGGTTTGTATCTTGAATTCCTACTACCTGAATGGTCCAAAAACTTCATGCTGAGAATGCATTTTAATGTGGTGCTGGGTTAATCTTGCCTCACAGGAAAAACATTAAGATATTTGGAAGAAATCTATCTATAATACAGGACTCCTAAAGATAAGGTTTTAAGAACTCTTAATTTATAATACAAAAGAAAAT